ATATTGCAAGAAGAACTTTATTATACATATGAACATTTTGGAGAAAAAAAGGGCGGACTTTCATCTGGGGGCTGTGAGTTCCCATAGAAAAATTCGTATATCTGAGAAACTATTAGAGCTAGAATCTTCAAATTATACATGAAGATTTTTGACATTATTGTGAACATTTAGAGAATAACGGGCGGACTTTCAATGGGGTCTTGGCCTATATGAATTAAATACAAAATTTCGTATATCCGGAAAAATATTAGATTTTTTTTTAATTTGTCATCGATTACATTAAAATCTTAATTAACGTTCGGAAAAAATGTATCTCTGGAAAACATTACAGTTAGAATCTTCAAAATTATTAAGAAGATTTTTTATTTATATTGCTTTTAGGGTAGCAAAGCACACTGGGTATAGTTAGTATATATATAAAACAGACTGTTTGTTTGTGTGTTTGTTCGTTACGCTTTCACGGCAAAACTACTGAACCGATTTACATGAAATTTGGACAGCTAATAGGTCTAACCCCAAAAGGAACAATAGGCTATATAAGATCTTGATCGGATGCCACGCCCCTTTTTACGAAAAATGCTAAAATTTTCTAAGTGTTTTTATGAACAGTTCATATTAATTTGTAACTGAAATTCATTGTAATTTATAACAAGTAAGAAAGTATATTCTGCCGTGGTTGACCATATGAGTATAAAATTTGATTTATTTTTCGTAATAAAGCATTTATGTTGAATTGAACCTTGGTTCCGATATATTTAAACTAATTCTCTGAGAAAGGCTTTATACATTTGTATATGTATGGGGGCTAGGTAAAATAAAGGACGGACTATAACCATTTTTAAAAGGTTTTGACATTGGATCAAAAAGCATACGTGCTTATTGTTTTGATAATTTCAACCTCTACCAGACGGTCAGAGTTACATGGCTTAATCGATTCAGAAAATGATTCTTAACCGATTAGTATACTCAAACGTAGTATAGCGGAGTAGGGTAAAAAATTAAGTTCCGTGGTATTAAGATAAACAGAAATGCTAAAAATTATTTCAAAATTTTTGTAAATTTAGCTATATGTAATGTCTCTAACTTTGAAATATTTCTGAATGCAAAAATTATATTAAAACTCTATTAATTACACTAGTTGCTCATGGTATAAAACCTATATGTGTTTTCGAAAGGAAAAGTATAATATTTCTAGTTTTACTTTTTTTTATATAAACAATTTTATTTGTCTTCCTCAAAACACTTTAAAAATGGTTTTCATGTCACAAAAATATTGAAAATTCCGTTGAAATAATTTTAAATCTCGGTGAATAGATGTCAGGTTTATAACTCATACTTCCAAGATTTTTTCGGAAAAATATATATGAGAATATATGAAATAAATTGAGAGATATATTCAAATCCGTAAGTTTGTAATTCTGGAATAAATTGTCAATAATATTTTCGAAATTTATGTATTTTTTTAATTAAAAAAAAAAACGTGACAACAAAATTACTAAAAATTTGGTAAAAATAAAAAGAACAGAAAGTAGGATGAGAAAGTCTTAATTATATATTATTGATTTTTTTCAATACTTATTTTCAATAAATTAACAAGAACTCCTGAAGGATGATAAAAATTAAATAATTTGTTAATTAACCGTCATTTCCAAAATTATATGTTTCATTCCATGAGAAAACAAAAAGTATTAGTTTGTAAAATAGCGTACTGAACGTATTTGTAAAAATATATGAAATCTCTTGAATTATTTCTATCACCTCGAATTTAAAAAAGCATTGGGTTCCAGAAAAATATTTTAGAATACAGCATTTTAAAGTATTCACTTGTATTGGCGTAATTTTAAGTCATTTATCTTTATGAATCTTTTAATCTATATAAAATAATGATTTGACGTCACGATTCTTATTATGCTCACTTTTTTCTATATAATTGTTATACAAAATTTGCATTCGAGACTTACAGAAAACTACTGAACCGATAGGTCTTATCTCAGGATCGGACACCACGCCCCTTTTTACACCAACTTTTTGTAAAACAATTATTAAACCAAATTTACGTTCAGGCATTCAAAAAACTACTGATCCGATTTTCATGAAATCTATTATAAAGAATGTTGTGGTATGAACAGTACGACACATTACATCTTCAAAACCTATAAGCCTATATATATATATATAAAACAGACTGTTTGTTTGTTTGTGTGTTTGTTTGTTACGCTTTCACGGCAAAACTACTGAACCGATTTACATGAAATTTGGACAGCTAATAGGTCTAACCCCAAAAGGAACAATAGGCTATATAAGATCTTGATCGGATGCCACGCCCCTTTTTACGCTCACTTTTTGTAAAAATATTATTACACCAATTTGTGTCGAATTTTATCAAGATAGCTTTATTTAACAATGAATATGTGAGTTTAAATGATTTTCGGAACAGAGCCTTATATGGGAGCCATGACCAATAATGGACCGATCCGGGGAAAATTTGTTAGAATGATTTATACGTATAGAAAACATACAAGTTGAATTTTATACCGATAGCTTTATTTATCAACGAAACATATGCGTTTAAATGTTTTTCGGAAGTGGACCCTATATGGGAGTTATGACCAATTATGGTCTTATCCGAAAAAAATTTCGTAGTGTGATTCATATATAGACGAAACATATTTGTGTCGAATTTTATCAAGATACCTTTATTTGACAATTAAATATGTGCGTTTAAGTGATTTCCGGAAGTGGGCCTTATATGAGAGCTATGACCAATAATAGTCCGATCCGTAAAAGATTTTGTAGAATGATTTGTATGTACGCAAAACATATCTGTGTCGAATTTTATCAAGATACTTTTATTTGACAATTAAATATGTGAGTTTAAATGATTTTCGGAAGAGAGCCTTATATGGGAGCTATGATTAATAATGGACCGATCCGAAAAGAAATTTGGTAGAATGATTTGTATGTACATAAAACATATTCAGCTCGAATTTTATCACGAAAGCTTTATTTTTATTTGTCAATGAAATACGTGTGTTTTTGGAAGTGGACCTTACATGGAAGTTATGACCAATTGTAGACCGACTGAGATCTACGTTGGTGATTTCTATTCATATTATATTTGTATGTACATAATTTTGTGTTGATACCGATATATTTGAGGGAGTTATTAACGATAAACTTATATCCGGGAATATACACCTTTGTATGGGGGCTATGGGAAATATTGGATCAATTGTTATGAGTTTGAACATACTTGATCCCTGGCACAAAAAATATCTGACTACTTAAGAATTGGAAAAAAACCGTGAACCGCTTTTACTGATTTTCAATACCAAACTGGACCGGATAATAAAGAATGTTTTGGGTGAGTTTCGTGAATATTTATTGCTTTGATTTAACGTGAGCGTGTTTTACACAGACAGACAGACGGACATAGCTAAATCGACTCAGAATTTCATAAGGATCAAGAATATATATACTTTGTTGGGTCTCAGATGAATATTTCTTGGTGTTACACACGGAATGACAGAGTTATATATACCATCTATCACCACTGATGATGGTGGAGGGTATAAAAAACTCTATATGATATTGAGTGGATGATAAGCACATTTTTATGTTCACTTTTTGAATAACTGCTATAACACCAAATTTCTAGGCTAAATATAAAAAAACATGAAACGATTTTTAAGAAATTTGGCAACATACAATGTTTGAGGAAGAGAATGTTTAATACACCAAATCCGAATAAATACACCTATAGGACTAATTTCGGGCCTGTTGTGATCTTAATGAAATGCAATGACCTTTTTCCGTCCACTTTTTGTTACATTTATAATGCTAAAGAACATGATATATAATTCCCATAGTATATGAGAATTATTATTTAATTAAATCTGCTGAATATTCTCAGAAAATAACTATTTTAAAACAGAATCTTTATTAGATCTTAAATGAATGTCTACGATGCCACATTTGTATGCAGAATAAAAACCGCTTCTTAAATAGGGAAAATAATATAATCATATTACATTTTCACTTAAATTCGAATTTTAAATCGGCTGTGGTTCCTTCCTTTAACACCGTAATCACTCACATTTTCCATACAAATCGAGTTTTATATCAAAAATAAAAAAATTAAATTTATTGTTAATCGAGATAATAATAAAAATCTATCAAATTCAAATGCAGCTCAAATCTAAAAAACCATGAAGATATGTATTTGACTACTCATTAGAGTGTCCCGAAAGACAGCACTTTTGCAAATATTAAATAGGTAGACATCTCAAACGATGCATAGAAAGCATTGTTCATATAAAATTTGGATAAATTGATCTAATTAAAGCTCATTTTCAATTTGTAAATTTTAAGGGATATTTTTGTCCAGAAACTGACTTTAAGTATTAAACAAAATGCAGAAAAATATAATATAAGCTAAATTTTGACATCTATTAAAAAGAGTATAGTCATTACAGACAGAATAATTTTATTTTAGAAGAAACCCGGGAAACGCCGAGTTCGCGCAGCTAGTATATATATAAATCGAAAGCCATTTTATATTTTACTTCAAAAAATGTGCAGATTGTTCTCCTTTATGTCTAAAGAAAAATATAAGAATAAAAAAACAAATTGTCCTCCGCTAATGCAGAGTAGTCTCATAATTGTCGTAACTCTGAAATTCCCTTTCGATAATGTACGAGTCTGATGTTAATCGTTCAATACTTCAGAAGATGTGCAGAAAAGTCTAAAAAAAGTTTGCCGATAACTCTGTAAAAAGTCTAAGGGAAACTTAGAAATTCGTTAAAAATTATGATAATGTATAAGAATTATTTCAGAAAATTTATGACATCAGACATGTCTGAAAAAATTGTTTACTGGGTATTTACATTAAAGATAATACATATGTACTTAAAAACGGCCTACATTTTGTAATACACAGTTCAACATAGCCCTACAAATGTGTATACATTTGTTAGGTGTAACTAGTATTAAATATTTACCTTGTTGTAGCGTGCCGATGAGGTATCGTTGTGACCGCTTTCAATAACTTCTATTTCATCTGCTTTCGACAATTGGTTGGCACCAACGGATGTCTTGAATGACATTTGCTTTTGTAAAAGTGCCGAATGGCTGCCGCCGCTTGGATTTGCGGTTGTTATTACTCCAGCAGTGCCCAAATTTACTCTTCCACATGTATCTACAGTCATTGTGTTAAGATGTAAATATAATTATCTATTTATTTTTTTCTTTTTCAAAGTGTATCCCTCTCACTATAAGGTCATTTATTGTTTATATAACATTTATAAAATTATATACAAAAACTGAAAGATACAAACATATATATGTATGTAAATACTTAAATGTGTACGAACAAATGTATTGTTTAGAATCACCACATAAATTGCACACATAGATCCAACTTGTATTATTGATTTCTTCACAATACCATAATCAGGCACATAGAACAGATAAATTATAAAATATTTATATATTTTATTGTTGATACAAGTATATATTTACATACTACATAATAAAGTATTTTTTATTTTATTTCGAATATCTTAAATTCACTAGTATATTATTATTTCAGGTTTCTTGTTGTGGTTTATTTACTAAATATATTTTGTATCAATCTCTTTGCATTTTTATTTTTCGTGTTCAGTGGCACATGTCAGATTGCATGGAATTAAAGTGTTGGAATTTCCAGAAATTCTTATAAGCTTTTAAGCTTTATGGAAACACATTCGTTTTTCAATCCAAGAACTTTTGTATACATTAGCTTTTCACCGTTACGTTTAAATTATCCGCACATAAAACTTTTACAGTGTGTACTTGCAGTTTTAATCGATTTTCTTTGCGCTGCTCACAATTTGTTGTTTAGGGGTTTTTTCTCCACAACATTCTTATGTACATATGTACATACATATGTACTATATTTTGGTGGGAAGAATGGAAGGCGTAAAACTTTAGCTCACATTTAACACATTTCGTTATTAACATAAGTTCTATATTCGGCTATGCCGAATCTTTTCAATAAAATGTTAAAAATGTTCAAATACATATTTTTATCAAAATATGTATTTTAAAAATTTCTTGGCAAAACAAGTAAGAGTTCTATATTCGCCTTTGCCGAATCTTATAAACCTTTCACCATTAAAAAAGTTTAATTTTATAAAATTTCAATTTATTTTATTTCGATTCTATCATTACTTCAGCAATAACAAAACAGAAAAACAACAACAAATTTCGCCAAACGAAACAAAACACCATGAAAAATAACAAAATACGCAAAGCAATAAAGCGACATGACAGCACATCAACTCCCAGTTGGCCAAGATTGGTTGACTCAGATCGGGTTTTTGAGTTGGCAATTCAATGCCAATTAAGGGCCCTTTACACAATTACACTTTACGTACGTAAAGTCTAATGAAAAAGTTAAATGAAATTTCATTCGTATGACAAAAATGAGAATAAAAGTCGTATGAAGTATAATGGTATAAAACAATAACAAAGTAAGATGAAAACTGCTGTTTCACTTTATAGTATGTGTTTACATAAAAATACATCCCTGATCTAATGCGACTTGCTTGTTTTTTGAATCATTTCAAAATATGAAGACAGTCATACAACTGTCAAATTTTGTGTCATTATAAAAAAGAAGAAGACATTTGTAAGTCGATTATAAAAAAACTTAAATTAAAAACAAACAAAAATGTATTTTAAAGTATACATAATCTATATGAATCAATAAATAAAACAGTTTGATGTTTATTTTTATAAAAATTGTATTTTTTGGCATCAGCTGTTTACACTTTTGCATTTCTTGCTCAAGTTTAAACCACCTCCACTGGGCGCTTAAACTAGCAAAAAAAATTAACTGAGTACTCAAAAACATTCGACAATTAATTTTAATTTAATCACTAATCGTTTACTTAAAGATGGCCCTCAAAAGTTAATTTTTTTGATCGTGTTATTGAAAAAGAATTAACATGTATGGACAATAGAGGTGTACAAAAAATAACGATTTTGTTTGGATGGGTCTTATTTTGTTCATTAGTGTCTAAAACTAATTGGTGTTAAATTTTAGTCCAATCGGATAACGGGAACCCATGTTGGAAATCGATTGAGAAGTGTGAAATTTAGTAAATTATAGGATTTTGATTTCTTCAAAAATTGTGCTATTAAAATTATTACGTTTTTATCAAATAGATAATGATAACTATGTAAATATATTAGCCCAATTCACAATCTAGTGTAAATGGTCTTGTATTATTGCATTTGCAAATGGTTTAGTATATTTATAAAATATACTACACTTAAATACGTAGTTTTTATTTACTCAACATTTCGTAATACAAACTGACAGCTCAAAAAATAAAAAAATTTTATAAAAACAATTTAAAAAAACAAACGAAAAAAGGAAAAAAGCAATAAAAAATAAGAAATTGAACAAAAAATGGACCAAAGGCGACAAATAGGAATGCAATATATCTTCTAGAAGTACCAGAGATAGAGGTAAGAACGAATTTAAAGCGAAAAGCCAGCAAAAAGCCGTGTATTTTGTATGTTTGCAATGAGTGTTGTAAATAAAAGCAGAAAAATCAGAAAATTAATAGCAAATATTTACAATTGCATAAATACAACTGCAAAAATACACCAGATCGTGAATTGGGCTATTATATCACCGTGATACAATTTTACATTTTTTTTGTTGGAATTGAACGACACTATACACATATGAAACTTGAGATCATATATAGTAGAACTACGTTTTCAGTTTTTAATTTTGTGATCTTTTCTCCCTTTTAAAGGACTTCAAAGTTTTAAGGCACCTCCCATATAAATTAAAAACAAAAATTTCGTTTAGCTTAGAAACAATTACAGTTACCCCCATTTTCTCAATGCCTTGTTATTTTTTATCGAAACGATATTTTGACAGTTTTCATACAAAAAATATTTTAACCGGCAGAATATCTACCGGTTAAACGATAACCGGAGAATGAGATTGTGGGCCTTAGAATAGAAAATTTTGCACAAATAACTTTAACATCCATGTTAAAATTTTGGAAAATAAATTGGCGGAGTACCCATGAGAGGAGCGGCACCTCCCATATTAATTAAATGCAAAAATTTGTTTATCTGGGAAACTAATAGAACTAAATTCTTCAACTTTTGCACTAAGAACTTAAATATTCGTCTGAACATTTTGGATGAAAAAGATCGGACTTCCATCTGGGGGGGCTTGGAGCCCCCATATGAATTAAATAGAAAAATTCGTATATCTGAGAAACTATTAGAGCTAGAATCTTCAAATTTTACTTATTTTTATAACGGTCGGACATTCAATGGGGGACTTGGTACCTCCCATATTAATTAAATACAAAATTTCGTTTATCTGGGAAACTAATAGAACTAGATTCTTCACATTTTGCACAAATTACTTTAATATTCATCTAAACATTTTGGAAAAAAAGGGCGGGCTTTTATCTGGGGGGCTTGAAACCCCCACATGAATTTAATAGAAAAATTCTTATATCTGAGAAACTATTAGATGTAGAATCTTTAAATATTACATGAAGTACTTTGACATTAATGTGAACATTTAGGGAATAATTGGCGGACTTTAAATGGGGGACATGGCACTTCCCATATTAATTAAATACAAAAATTCATTTATCTGGGAAACTAATAGAACTAGATTCTTCAAATTTTGCATAAATTACTTTAATATTCAACTGAACATTTTGGGGGAAAACGAGCGGACTTTCATATGGGGGGCGTGGAGCCTCCATATGAATTAATTAGAAAAAATCGTATATCTTAGAAACTATTAGAGCTAGAATCTTCAAATTTTACTTGAAAAACTTTGACATTCATCTGAACAATTAGAGTATAACGGGCGGACTTTCAATGGGGAACTTGACAACTCCCATATTACTTAAATATAAAATTTCGTTTATCTGGGAAACTAATAGAACTAGATTCTTCAAATTTTGCAGAAATTACTTCAATAATCATCTGAATATTTTGGAGGAAAAATATCGGACTTTCATCTGGGGAGCTTGAAGCCCCCCCATAAATGAAAGAGAATAATTGTATATCTGGAAACTACTAGAGCTAGAATCTTAAAATTTTACATAAAAAACTCTGACATTCAGTGAACATTTAGAGAATAACGGGCGAGATTTCAATTGGGGGCTTGGCACTACATAAATGAATTAAATACAAAATTTCGTATATCTTGGAAACTATTATATATTCAAATTTTTCATAGATAGACAGAAATTGGCGAACTTTCAGTAATTTGCTTGGCATCTCTAATATGTAACATATTGTAAATCTAGAGAACTATTGCAGTTAGAATCTACAAAATCGTTAAGTGGGTTTTTTATTTATACTGCTTTTAGGGTAGCAAAGCACACTGGGTAAAGCTAGTATGAATAGATAGAGAACATTTTCCAGAAATAGATACAATTTATTATGTATCTATTTGTTGTAAAAAATGTCCTTTGAAAAATGTATCCTTTTATATCCTTGAGAATTTCCAATTAAGATTACAAAAATATTAGATAGTACTTCTTGGACTTGAACAAGTCCACATACACATGAAACTGGATATCGTATATAGTAAATCTGCGTTCTCAGTTTTTAATTTTCTGATCTTTTCTTCTTTTAAAGAAAATCTAAATTTAAAAGATGTAAAAATTTCTATTAACATTTATATACATATTTTTATTAATTAATGTTTGTCAAATAAAAGAAGACGGTCACCAGAAATGGAAACAATATTTTTTTAATTTTTCAGGGCAACAAATTTCAAGAAAAATACTTTAAACATTCTTTCTTTCATGTCCCATATAATTTTCCTACTAATTTTAAAAAAGGGTTGAGTCTATTAAAAGTTAATTCGTTTTTATACCCTCTACCACCATCATACACAGTGGGGCAGAATCGAAATTTTTTGGAAATAAATCTGGCATTTCTAAACGGCTGATCCGATCGGGATAAAATTTGGCGTGAGCGTAGCCAAGGAGTATTCGAGTTTAAGTTTTGAAGTTGAACCCTGCTGATGCCCCAGGGACTTCGCTGTGGCGGCTCAAAGTAGGGTACCTACGACATGTAAAATTTTTAAACTCGTGCCATTTTTTTGTTTTTCACCCAAATATTTTTTTATATTTTCTGAAAGCGCTCGACGAGATCTTGAAAAAACATGCTTGGACATACTACTTATCTCTTATAATATCCGAGTTATAGGCATTTAAAAATTTACCATACCTTGGTCCGCCTTTTTTTAAATACCGGGCGTAATTTTACGAATTTACTTCAAAAATAACTAGAATCGACAAGGAGTTGCTTCGAAGAATTAACACTATTTTAATGGCACTGAATAGTAAACATAAAATTAATGGAAATCGATTTGGGGAATATACATCTAAAATTTCTAAATTACTTGTATCTCTGTATCCATGGAGGGAACTAACACCAACAGTACACAAAGTATTGTGTCATGGTCAAATAATAATTGAATCGAATATTCTTCCACTTGGAGAGTTAACAGAAGAAGCCCAGGAAGCGAGGAATCGAGATTTTAAGCATGTTCAACTATTCAGCTCAAGAAAATTCTCCAGGCAATCACAGAATGAAGATATTTTTAA